AAATGTTGCTCCCTGTAGTGTAGTTTTTGTTGGTGATTTTATTCGTTCTCGCATCGCTGGGTATATCTTTTGCTGCAGCTGTTTGTGTATCATGCATCCCCTATAGTTTGCAGGGTGATGCTCGTTACAGTTTACGCAGCGGACCTCTTCGTCTCTTGTTTTCCTGGGACAATCACTGGTCAAATGATTTTCTGCGCATTTAACGCATCGAGGGTTGTTATAGCAGTAATTCTTCGTGTGGCCATATCTTTGGCATCTCGTGCACTGAGGTATCTCTCGTTTAGCATGTGGTGCTTCAAATTGGACACAAGTATTCATGAGTAACTTTATGTTATATATGTCCTTATTATTAGCCTTTGGCTTTAGGTCCACATAGAATATTGGTAAGGGATTTTTAGTCTTCCTTTGTTTTACGTTCCAGATGTTGGTAACTTCATGGCCTTTTGATTCAATACTAGATTTAATCTCATTTAAGTCTGTTGTCGGATGGACATTTTTAAGACCACTCTAAAGCTTCTATCTTGTTTTGGTTTATATGAGTAAAATTAAGTTTTTTTGTCAATTAGGGATTTTAGGATCGTACTGTAAACTGTACTTTCCAAGGGCGGTACTTTGACTTGATCAGAGGTCAGAGTTTTGATGTTATATTTTTGATTAGCTACGAGAATGGAGTCATAGCTGAAAAAAGAAGTAGGCTTATAAAAGATCATTTATACTGAAAATTCACACAATCATTTCGTACTGTAGCGTGTAAAGCCGATGCTAAGGAAAGAATGCGAGATAAGGCGAATAAACAGCGACTGTTTCTAGGCAACGACTCGGTAAACACATTCTCGCAGCAACGAATACCCATGCAACAATAGAAGAACGGCGTTTTCTATGTGGCCCGTGCCGAAATATTATAACCAGGAGAGTTGGAGCATTGAGTTCAGTTGACAGTCCAGTTGTGGAGTATCAACCAGCGGGCAGAGATGTGAGCACAGAAGCTTAGGAATCTCCGGTGTTAAGATCCATTACCAGGAAACGACTAATGAAAGCAGACTGAGAAGATTTAACGTGTGTTCTAATGATTTGCAAATTATGTAGATCAGCGATAGCGCTGTAATTACTTGTACTTTGGAGTCGTCTGTATAAGTGGTCAATAAATCAATCCACCAATCCGAACCCCAGTTATAGTCACATACACTTCCTCCCGTGACACTATATTTTCAATTTTATTTTAATCTGTCATTATACGTGTAAGCTTATTCCGGGTTATAGAGACATACCAAAGTCACGACAATATTTCTTTGTCGTGCAACCATGTTTGTACGTGTGGGAGATTTTGATCAGTGAGAGTTGGTTTTCCCCAGAATTGTTTCCGTATATTCAAGGGAATTTACACACGTTACACTTCTTACTGATTAAAACAATGGCAGTTACTTGATACCGAAAAGAGTGACATTAAAAATGACAACGTAAGTGTTTATGCTAATGAAGCTTATCGATATTTATGAGTCTGTGGTCGTAATGTATACTTCAAGGCCGAACATAACCGAGACCGCAGTAAACAAATATTTGCCAATCGCAATGCATATCATTTGGCCGTGCAGGTTGTCATAGTAGACCTAACGAGGAAGAAATAACATAGAATGTACATACTGTCATGTATGAGGCTTTAGCGTAACTAATAATATTGGATTTGATTTGTTTCATTCTGTTGCAGCACACTAACAATATTATAAAAGATAAAATAACTCCGTCCAATGTGAAAACACAGCACGCCACGAACAAACACAGGCCGATATCAAAGAACCTCGTTCTCAAGAAAGACAGGCGACACAAGTTCGGCCCCCGTCAAGAAAGGCGATAAGAGAAGGGACACGAACCTATTTGGTTTATAAATTTTAACCTAAATAACAAAAGTTTTAAAAAACTTTAATATACCAAGACAACCGCTGTAGTTGTGAAAACTTTGGATTTTGTATATATTGTGCATTACAAACATTGTATTTCTATATATTTTAACATTCAGAACACACATTGTAATAGTGGTTTCCAAGCAGTACCGATGTCCCTCTGATGATGGTCTATAAGGACCGAAACATGTAAGGGTGTTAAGAATTGAAGTAGTAAAAACTTCAACAGTCACACTGGACGGAGTTGTTTTATCTTTTATAATAATAATAGGGGGTTCTGGTTTTGAAGATTGGGTTTATTGGGACTTCCTTAGAATTACACTCAATTATAACAGCTCATACGCTGAACTCCTTCTGAACGACGTCTGTCTGACTAACGCCATCTGAGGTCGGAATCAGAGTCTAGTTACTTTACGACTGGCGGTTTACCGCTAATCACTTCGTCTTTGCGCCAAGCCCCTTGAGACTCACGGCCATATTTTATTTTTCATCTGAACCCTTGCTGCAATAGTCCTTATGTAACATCCTCTCTGACGAGAAGATGGGGTTTATCACTTATGCATTTGCTTGGTCTTATAGCATGTCTTGAAAGTCTTCCTTTTGCACTATATACAACCTCTCATGTGAAAGGGGTCCTACCCATTGTGTACAGGATCACGAAACTTAAAAAAGCGGCCAGAGCCCAAGAAAGGGCTGTAGAGCCATTGATGAGTGAAATCTAGAGAGAGAGAGAGAATATATATGGGAAACCAATTTAGTTCTTCAGTCATGTCATCATCTCTCTCGTCTCTTCCTGCAAAAATATAATTCTCTCCCTCTCTCTCTTTCAAACCAGGACCGCCAATGACAAATATAACACTCAAGCTGCCGACACACAATTCATATTACAAGCAGTTGCATTTTCAATTGCTAAAGGTGACAGTTGGCGAATACAGCAGCCGCGCGGTCTAAAACATGAACACTCCTCGCCCTCTCTAACACTGGGATCGTGGGTTCGAATCCCAGTAGAGACACGGATGTGTGCGTTTATTCCGTTTTTGTGTTGTTCTGTGTGTAGATAGCGACCATGCGACGGGTGTTCTACCGAATGTGTATGGATTAAGAAACTGAATAAGCGACCAAAGTTCACGTGGGTTGAAGACAGACAGGCAGACAGATAGATAGATAGAAAACAAAAAACTCCGTGTCTTTAGTCTGCAAGCGAACTATACCGGATAGATAGAGGTAGTCACTGCTAATTCCGCTCTTGCGTAATGGAGCTGGTATTCAGATTTCGCAAAATGTTCGGAGTAAGCCCAGAGAGAGTAAAGTGTAGAGTACGAAAATGCATGTTAGATGTTAGATTGTTAGAAATGTGCTGCCCAATACAAATGTGTTTGTAATTTAGAAAACTTGTGAAACAATCTGGAACCTCTCGCATTTATCATAATGAATTTGCAGGAAACAACAGTACCAGTTGGAAGATCGTCATTTTAGAGACCAGAATGGTAATGATGCAGTTTGGCGGAACACTATTGAACCCAATTCGGAAGCTGCGGAAAGTCACTGCGCCGCGACACCAAGCGTCTTTAGAAGAAGACTGCCTCAGGTGAGCTGCCCGCAGCTGTCAGAACCCATAGCTTCTCGTGTAACATCGGAAAATTCCGGGCACGTTTGATTCCTGCTTCCAATTAAATTTATTTAATCTGTACCGTGAGGACGGCGAGAATTGTATTTATATATCAGGCCTGCACGGTAAAGGTACATTTAATGCTGAGCCCTGACTACCTTACTATTTTCAATTGAAATGGCGTGTCTTTCTTACCGTCACCATCTTTTTAATTTGAAATATAACGAAGAAATAATTTGCAAATATGATGGACGCATCATGGCTTCAAACGAAATTCCACGTACCTGCCTCTAATAGTGAATCAAAATCTTCTTGGACAAAACAGCCCTTTCTGAGCCACAGTCTTCCTTAGAAGATATTACTACATTGTCTTGAGTTAGAACACCCGACTTTCACTTTCGGTCTAACGTAGGTCATCCGATCATGCAACCCAGCTTGGACACATCTTCCATCTGGACTTCCGTTATTGCAGCAGAAGTCAGAAAACTACAGCTCTGTCCAGCGTAGATTATGTGTGAAAATTGTGTTTTATGTGGGTACCATACAGTAAATTTTTTCTTTAGTGGTGACTTATATTCTAATAGTACTCCGATTTTAACAAAAATGGCGGTGAAATTGTGCATGGACACAGGTGCTAAGTCTCATGTATGTGGATTTCTTTCAGTGTTTTCAACGTCTCTCTTAACACTCAAAGATGGTGTGTGCTGTGCTTGGTTTATGTATAGAGAGGGGCTAGCTCTATCGACTGGGATGAACTGAGTAGGTTCCATCTGGAGATGGAGACAGAATCCAGACCCCGCAACGTTTTTTTAAATAAAAACAGGACGATGGATAATGTCCAGAAACAAAATAATTTTGTTGTTTAACTGTGTAGGCGACAGGAATAGATTATATTCTGCCTTATTCCTCCTCTGATAACTTGGACAGGCTCATAAAACTAGTTGCCTCATTTTGTGTACATCTGTGTGAATTTTTCAGTTCTTTAGCTTAAAAAGTATATTATTTCTGGAGAACGCAGAGTTTCTGCCGCCCTACACTACTACGCTTCCTGACCCAACATACTGCCAGGTCCCTTGCCTTAGTTATCCATTTTTCTGCAGTTTGTGAGCTTACATTTTGATATTTTCTGTAGGTTCTGGCGAACCTCGTGACCAATCTTCTCGTACTGGAACTTTGTACGCCTGTCGCCTTCAGCACTGTGCTTATAGCAGCGCTGCTGAATGCCAAGCAGGACCTGTCCGTCACAAACGATCAGGCGTCATTGCTCGGTGAGGCTCATTTCTTCATAGCTGGTGGGGCTGATTTGGGAGGATTAAATATTACTTTCATTCCACAGCCAAGAATATCACCAACTGACAATCTTGAAGTAAGCTGGCTCTAAGCATGTGTGTCTAAATATAGTTATACCCTTCAGACGGCAGGTTGGCTGGCCTGAGGGACAAAGAACCAATGAGGACTTAATACTGAGTCGTGTTAAAAAACAGATTTTTTTGTACTGTAAAAAAAGTAAAGCTATCCCTGTAACAGGCCGTGAAGACCCATAGGGTTGTGAGACGTTGAGGGTCCCACATTATCTAGACAATCGGCTCATAGATGGCGGTAAGGTTGTCAGCCTTACGCGCCGGCCGCGCTTTACTCCCCAGGAAAATTATTTATTTAATTCCTGGTAATCATTTCTGTTAGAGGCTGAGTGAACCCCAGGGCCATAATGCGGAATGGGAAACAATGAGTTTCGACGCTTCTTGCCCTCTTACAGGATGGATCATCGCGTTCAAATTCCAGTCGATACGTAGGTTTGTAACCTCAATATGCAGACCAGTCTAGAAATGGTATCAGATTATCCACTCCTGGAAAATATCATGTTAATTATAGGCTTTCACTGCAGGAATGAATTGCTTCGCATGTCACAGTTTTTTGTCTCTTACTGCAGGAAGCATCGCATTCATCTGCCAGCCAATAGGGAGCCTGATATCCGGGATAATCGTGGAGTTCTTAGGCCGTAAGTGGTCCATGTTGATAGTCAACATCCCTTTCCTAGTGGGCTGGCTTCTCTACTGCTTCTCCAATTCCATCACGACGCTCTACGTCGCAAATATTATCCTAGGGATAGGGATCGGCTTTATGGAGGCACCTATTATGACGTATACTGCTGAGACCTGCCAACCCGAAATAAGGGATACTTTGATTTCAATTTCTGGTGAGTAACTTGACTATATATAAGTTGATCAAATGACTCATGCAGTGAAGCGCCATTATCCGAACTGAAGACGGATGAAACTTGGACAGTCGAACAACAAGGAGACATAGTTATAATGTGCATCTAGAAACAAAATTTACATATATATACAATACACTTTAATGTAGCACAGCAAATGACAATAAATATACTCGTATTAGTAGTATTTTACGGAAAAGGTTTTCTTCTGTTTGGATAACGGACGCCGGACTGCACATTCAATTCGGTGGAGGGATTAGTTGGGGATGTTTAATTAGTATAGTAAGTAGAGCTCACTGGTCAGCAGCTATGGCAAAAAATATCTGCTCCGCTTGTCTCTAATTAAGCGCTACCATCCACCGCGCAGAGATTTTATGTCATCGAAATTAACAGATACAAGAAGAAGGATACTTCACCAAATTGTCTTATCCTCACCTTGAATGAGACATGTGATAAGAATTAGACTTAATTCTTACTGTTAGTACTGTCTAGAATGTCCGTTGCATTAGCTTAAATGGAACTTCTCCCGTCTACCTGTGCTGTTGAGCCAGTTACCGCCAACTGCTGCCTTCGAAATACAGCGTTATTCGTAAGTCCGTGAAACATTTTGAAAATTTACAATAAATAAACTACGCAACGGATACCAAATTTTATTACACTGAAACAGACGTAAATTCGCCAAGTTCTTTCTACATAATTCACAGATGCTCAATATGTCCACCTTTGCTGATACGGCAGACATCTATGCGATAATACGTTTCGTCCCACACCCGTTTCAGCATATCGCGGTTGACCAGAGCCAGATCAGCGGTGATGCGGTTGCGAAGATCCCTGAGATTAGCAGGCAATGGCGGCTTTCAAAGGAACTTGGAGAGATTCATTCTCTATCGGCATAAGATTACCATGATCCGATGCATATTTTATTTGTTGTGAATTTCTAAAATGTTTCACGGACTTATGACTAGCCCTGTACTTATTACATAGCTCTGTGATTTGGTTCATGAGATATACTAATATGAGGAGGAGGAGAATAAGGAGAAGAGATAAAGGACAGGAAGGAAGATGAGAGCAAGAAGACTAAGGAATAAAGAGGAAGGACTAAAGATGAAGAAAGGATAAATTAAATGATGATGAGAGAAAGCAAACGACTGAGGAATATAAGAAGAAACCGCGGAAGACAACGATGAGATAATTCCTAGTTATTCACATTCACTAATAAAAATTAGTTCATATTTTGAACAACCATAATTAAATGAAAGTTAATCGTATTCTGAAAGAGGGCAGTTAAGTAAAATGTCATCTCATTTTGATCAATGGCAATTAAAACTTTAAGGATTTATAAAACAAATTAATTTCTTATTACGTACTTCGTTTGAAATATAAAAGGTGTGGACGAATTCTTTGCCTTTATACGAGGATCTACCAATTTTAAGATACACTTAGGCAAGAATCGTATAAATATTATATTTTGGGACATTATCCATCGTCCTGTTTTTATCTAAAGCGCCTTCCTATTTATATTTCAAAACAACGTTTCGGAGACTGGATTCTGTCTCCGTCTTCAGGTTGAGCAAAGACGGAGGAAGAATCCAGTCTCCGATACGTTGTTTTGAAATATAAACAGGAAGGTGTTTTCAATAAAACAGGACGACGGATAATGTCGAAAAACAATATTTGTACTAATGTACCATAATGGGGCCGCGCCACAGCTAAAGCGGTTAGTCGTTGGCATTCCACCGTGGCGGCCCGGGTTCGATCCCTGGTCTGGTCAGGTGTGATTTGTGGTGGACAAAGTGGCGCTGGGGCAGGTTTTCTCCGAGTATTTCGGTTTCCCCTGCCAATCTTCATTCCACCAACTGCTCCACAATCACCCTCACCTATCATCTGGGGCTGGTACAATAGGCCAGAAGTGGCCGCAGTACAAGGGACTTGTCCCACCGCACTAGCATTTAAAAAAGTGTACCATCATCACAAATATTTAGATCTTATAGACAATTATCCGTTTCAAATATTCGTAAAATACAGGTGTATACATCCGAACGTGTGACAGAGCGAACTGCATGTGGAATGTCGCACGAAGGAATAAATATCCACCGGCGAGTTTAATATTCGCTCTTAAACACACACACAGAAGTCAACAATTCTAAGTGACACTGCTGAATTAGTTCAATCCGCCAATAGGAGATAAGTGTAAAGCGCATATTTCAATAGTATCCTTATGCCAAGGCTAGGTGATAGGAAAAGCAGTTGCATTAGTGAGAGGAAATTCTAGTAAGAACTAATCTCCTGCTTTCTTTTCACTACGAACTTAGTGTTTCTTATGACAAGTACAGGGGATGGACAAAAATATGGAAACACCCAATAAAAAACACATTACCGTAGCTAATATGGAGTAGGACATCTCTGGCTTGCAGAATTGCTTGCAGTCTCCTTGGAATGGACAAATAGAGGTCCTGTATGATTTGCAAGGGAATCTTGTACCATTTTTCCTGCAAAACATTGGCAAGTTCTGTTATCGATAATGGAAGTGGATAGCGTGCACGCAGATTGCTCTCCAAAACAGACCACAAAGGCTCAATAATATTGATATCTGGCTATTGTGGGGGCCATGGCAGACGTGTCACTTCATCTTAGTGCTCAAAAAACCAGTCTTGGACGATGTGAGCTGTGTGAACACGGGCACTGTCTTCTTGGTAAATGGCATCACCACTGGGGAACAAAGTTTGCACCATGGGATGGACCTGGTCTCCCAAATTGGTCACATAGTCGTTGGCAGTGACGTGACCTTGCAAGGTAATGGTGGGTCAGGCAGAATACCACGATATGGCTGCCCATACCATGCTCGAACCCCCGCCATGTTTCACTTTTGGCAGCAAACAATCTGGATCGTAAGCTTGGGATGGCGTTCTCCAGGCGTAAACTCGGCCAGAAGTCAGAAACTGTTTGAAAGTGGACCCATCCGACCAAATGACCGTCTTCCATTGCTTCATAGTCCAGGCTTTATGACTTCGGGGCCACACTGTCCTCTTAGTGGCATTTTGATCACTGATGAGTGGCTTTGGAATTGCAGCTCGTCCAGAAATACCCTGCTTGTGGAGTTCCCTTCGTACTGTTTTGGTGCTGACAGGGTTTGTAAGCGTGACATTCAGTTCAGCAGTCACTTTTGCAGCTGTAGTCTTCTTATTTTTCGTCACAATCCTACGCAATGTTCGTCTGTCTCTATCACTCAACACACATTTCCGTCCACGCTGGTGTTTATCGGATGCGGTTTTTCCAGTCCTTCTGTGTGCGGTCATAATCTTGAATACTGTGCCTCGCAAAACACTAAAAACCTCTGCTACCCTGGTTGCGGAAGCACCCACCATACAGGCCCCAACAATTTGCCCTCGTTCGAATTCTGTTAGCTCTGACGTAATGCACTAAAAACTGCACTGAACACTGTCTCGACAACAGATGAAGCTTGCAACATATTGCGGAGGTTGTACAGGTAGTGCTATTGGGCAGATAGACATCGTCACCTACAAACGTCGCTATAATAAACACTTCAATTCAGGCATACATTTCACGAGGTGTTTCCATATTTTTGTCCATCCCCTGTAGAACAAAGTGCTGTTATTTATGCGTAAGACAACGAAGCAGTAATGTAAACTCAGTTTCTATGGAACGTGACTTGTGCATATCTTAAAATAATTAAAGACATTAAGTTGTGCACCACAGGAAGGTGAGGATGCCTGTGGGACAGAAGAGGCTTTGTGAGAGGCGTTATGTTGTATCTATTGCTGTACACGTGACTACAATCTGTTTGTGTTAATACGTTGTCACACAGCTAAAGTATCTCACCCTTCGGTACCATGTATGAAAGATGGGCTGAGATTTCTTACCCTAAAATCCAGACAGGCTTGTGGAAGCTGGTTATTAAATCATAATAGTACTCTGTTATAGACCGTATACTGGAGAAGTAGAAATAAATTTTTGTGCCCCAATTTGTGAATCTCTTATTTTGATTCAAATGTACGTGTATATGAAATCAGGAAGTGATTCAAAGAACTCCCAGCTCTCCATTGTAGACTGAGGTGACCAACTAAGTTCAGGCGACTAATGTTGGCAAGAATAAAAATAGCTTGAAGGTCAATGACAATATTTGCTTCGGAGACCCACGGTGACTTGCAGATGGACACAAAACTCTCTGCTACTGAAGGGAAGTGAGGGCACACAGTAACAGTTAGTTGACGCGCTATGATACAAGCCGGAAAGTCGCGGGTTGGACCCCCTTTGAAGTTACTGGATTTTTCAATTGAGATAATCCTTCCAGGAGCACTATGACTCTGGGGTCGACTCAGCCTCTAGCAGATTTTTCCCGGGGTAGAAGGCGATCGGCACGTAAAGCTGTCAACCTCACAGCCATTTGTGAGCAGATTGTCTAGAAAATGTGGGGGCCTCGACATCTTACAAAACCTATGAGCCTCTATGCCTTATTACGGGGATAGTTAAATTATTTTTTATATTACTGCTGAAGGGAAGCACTTGTGAGATATGCTGCTGAAAGTGCCTCTTATGACATACCAAGATTCATGACGATCGATTGTGGCATTCAAGTAAGTCTAAGGTAGAGGTTGCAGTGTTGGTATTAACTGTGGGGCAGATTTATGAATTAAGCCATCAGATGGAGTCAGCTTGATGTATCAAGTTCCATAAAGTCTGCGCAAGTGTTCGAGAGTTGTTATGGGCAATGTACAAGCAGACACACACACGTACACATGGAAAGCAAGGTGATTCAATAAATTTCTTTTGCTCTTTCAAAATAAATAAAGTATGCTGAACGCGCAGGTTTCATTTCATTGTGTGTTAGGTTTCCCTAGGAACCGGAACAGCGCAATCGGTATAACGACTGGCTACGGGCTGGATGACCGAGAGATCAGAGTTCGAGTCCTGGCAGGTTGAAGAATTTTCTCTTTTCCATGTTGTCCAGACCGGTTCTGGGG